TACATTAATTGTAATCGTTGTAAACCTTAATTAAATCATCAAAATTATAGATACTCCATGACAAAACAGGAACAGGGTAAATTACAATCAAAGTTTACTCGATGACTGCCATCATGGATTTCAGCTTTCCAAGTCAGCAGACCACCACAGCTACCTCGTGTATCCCCCACGATAGTGTATACATGCTAGGACCACGTGCTGGAAAGTCTGAAAATGGCTTTTTTCGTTGTGATACTTGACTCCAAATATTCCAAAATGACTCCAAAATTTGTGAAGCAGAAGTCACAGTGACTCCACTCATCAATAAAATTTGCAAACCCTGTAAGTTGATAGTTCAACCATCCTAAAGTTTTTTACTTCCCACCCTTCTCTCCCTTTGGAGGTTTTGTTGTTGTTTTCAATAAACATGGGTTCAACGCTTTCTTTTGCCTTTGGTTTAATTCTCATGACAACTTCCTCAAGCTTTGATTTTAACACAAACCTTTATAATTATGAGATTGTATTCGAGCGTGTGCCGACAGAGTCAGCTCGTAGTGCTGATAAGATAAAGTTCCTAGAAAAGAATAATTGCCTACACCATTCCATTAAGCTGCATGATGCTGGCCGCTGGTTTCAGCTTGAAGTGCCGAGGAGTGTTAGGCCATATTAAGTTTGTTTCTCTTGGACCTACCTGAACTTGTCCAGTCCGGGGCATGTAAAATAATGCTTGGGAGATAAGTAAGGCTTTATGGTCACGCTACGGAAGTCGTCTGCCATGCTTATTGCGGAGTGGTGTAGTCCCCTTTATGCCATATGTTTTGTTGTCATGTTTTCATTAAACTTTAATTTAAAGCCTAGCTAAAGGAACTGCAACATTAAATTATATTTGTTTTAAACTTTGTAATTTTTTGTATGTAGGAACACCCCTGGGTGACAGCAGCATATTTTGGTCGAGGTACAGCTTATGTTCAGAAAGGCTTACAGGTATTTCAAAGGCTTTACTCTGTTCATGGTGTGAATACAATTTTCTTTTTCTTGGTATTAAAAGCCAATATTTCATCATTTTCAGAACAAGGAGAATGCTGATGCAGCAATAGAAGATTTTTCATCAATTATCAGATTAAGTCCTGATAATCCTGATGGATGGATAAAACGTGCTGAGGTAATGTATAATCAATATTAGATCATCTGGCCTTCATCATGTTAAAGTGTCTATTAAGGCAGTAGAAGAAAAGTAAGTTAAAAGAATGATACACTCTATACATGTAGGTGGGAAAAAGCATCAGTCCTTAACTTACTGATCATCGATAAGGCTGTTAAATAACCTGTGGCAATAACTGTCACCCACTAAGACAACTACCGATTCTTTTGCGATTTATTCATTTTAATGTGTTGATAGGTGTTATCACCCCTGGGAAACATCAAAGAGGCATTAGCAGACATCAAAATTGCTCTTGATCTGAAACCCAGTGCTCATTTGTATGTCATGAGTGGAACACTTCACTTTATGCAAGAGGTATGAACAGACAAATGAAACTATAACTTGTTTACATAATAAAGGATTTAATAATGCGGTAATTAATCACTGAGAATAATTACCTGCTTGATTGATGGCACATGGCCTTTGAGCGAGTAGGTCGCGCTATTTTTGAGCTCTAGTTTGGTGTAAATCTCTGTTAAATTTCTATTACTAAAACCTAAAGCAGAGCGGAAGAAGACGATAGATAAACTTAGTCCAAATTTTTTGCGCTAAATTATGGAATGAGATACTAGGTAGAATGAGATACATGTCAAAAAAAGTGTTTAGACGAAAATTACTCAGTGTGCTCTTTGAAATATTAAAAGACAAAGATGATTACCCTCATGTAACCATGATAACACGAGAAATAATATCGCGAAATCCTAAACCTTAGCTTCTTCCCCCAGGTTGCATTAAACAGATTTGTCTTTCTTGCTTTTGAATTTATTACACATATTTCGTCTTTTCTTTTTCTTTGCTTTTTACTTATTTAATTATCTGAGCTATCTGATTTGTAATAGAGTCAATTTGGCACACCTCTACTAGCTTTTTTTTTTTTTTTTTTTTTTTTGCTAACTGCATACCAAGAAATTGTACTTTCAATATTATGATAGTAAATATTTGTCTTGTCTGGTCTTGTCTTGATGTTTTTCCTTGATTTATTGACTGGCTGACCTACTCAATGAGTGAGTGAGTGAGTAAGGGAGTGAGTAGAGGAATGACTTTTAACAATGTGAGATTAACCATGTCTAAAGGAATACCAAAATCCTTATACCTAAAAACTAATTAACTTTACCTGCTTGCATTTCTTCACATAATCTTCTGTTCTAGTGAATTTAACTGTTGATGACTGAAAAAGAAACCTTGACTTTTTGTTGGCTTCTTAAGGATTATGAGGCTGCCACTGAAAGTTTCGTTAAGTGCCTGGAGACTGATAAGAATGAACCAACAGCAATGTTATATTATGGACTGTCTCTGTACCACAGGGGAAAAGTGAAGGTAATCAGTTATACAATACATGCAGCAGCTAGTTGTAAAAAATTCTTTTCAGGAGAGTAGCTCAGTTTATCAACAACAACAACAACAACAATCTTTATTTTTCCTTTTTTCTAGTTATTTAAAAAGTGCCCACGGACTGCAGATTAAGTTAGGGTTAGGGTTGATACTGTCTCTTTTTGTTTGATGCAAAATAATCGTGGCCACAAACTCTTAAGGGTCGGTTATTTAAACAAATTCTAACTTAAACCGCGGTTTAAGAAATCTTTGGACCTCCAGATCTCTTCCTTAGTGGGTCAATTTAAGAAGATAAATGCTTTTCCTGTCTACTCTACATGCTTTAATGAAACTGTTAACAACAAAATAATGGTGTTTAGATAAAAGTGTTGGGCAAACGGAAAATGATTTAGAACGCTGTTCTGTTAAACAATGGCTAAACTCCAGTTAAATAACTGGCCCTAAATGTCTCTTCCACGTGTAGTATAGTTATTACTTACCTGCTTGCTTTTTTTTTTTTTCTCTGCTTGGGTTGATTTGTCAGGAGTCCATTGAGATTTTTAAAAAAGTTCTTGAGACAAACGTTAACAAGGCAGAGTGCCATCGCAGCTTGGGCCACGCCTACAGGTGGGTATTGTAACAATGTAAGGGTGAAGTATTGGAGGTTAAAACCAACTTTTACGCTAGGATGGTTCAATTCTGGAGTCTGTTGCTGTAATATTATTATTGTTTCTCCATGTACCTACTGGGGGACAACAAGGAAGAGGGTCAGGTTTTGATCTTTAGAGAAAACATTACCAACCAACAGTATGTGAGTATGTCCTTGCAAGACATACTATGCTTTGGTACTGTCTATGCAAATAGAAGGGTGGATAAGACTTAACCATTTTTTTGTACACTGCTGTGTACGTATGTAAAAATTGAGGTGTTTGTGGTGTGTGTAAAGCTATGATATTTATGCTGCAAGTGAATTAATTTTTTGTCTCATTAACTGTGCAGGGAGTTGGGAAGTCCAGACCTTGCCCATACACATTTCACAGAAGCCATCACTCTAGAGCCAACAGCCTCCCAGGTTTGTAAAAACATTTTTTTACAAATTTGCTGCATGAGGTATTAAAACAGCTCTAGAATGACTGTAAGTAATGTAGTTGGGGAAGGGTGGTGGCTAAGTTGTTATAACTTAAGTAAGTTGTTTTGAAAAGTTGCCCAATGTTTTTTAACAGTGCTACTTATTTTCTTCTGTGATAGAATTATCAATCTCGAGGGATAATTAATTATATGAATGGGAAACCTCAAGAAGCCATCAAAGACTTTGAGGTACTACAATATAAAGGTGAAAATTCACAAGTAGCATGGGTCAAGTAAAATCACGCAATAGCAATGATGGAAGACATTTTTTTCTGTAGCCAAACCTGTATGAATACAATTCCCAGTTTCTGGACAAGGTTTATTTTTTTGTTTGTTTTCTTTTCAACAGAACTGTCTTAAATACAATCCAAGTAGCATTTCCTGTACTTATTGGAAAGGAGTTAGTCATGCTTCAAAAGGAAACTTTTATGAGGCTGTGAAATCAAGCACAAAGGTTTGATTGTCAATCAACTCACTATTTTAATACCGCAGGCCCCATGGTAGACATCAGTTAATCACTGATTTCTTGGACTACAAAGTGTGGCATTTTATACATCATTGTTATTTTCAACTTGACAGTTTTAAGCTTGTCCCTCTTTTCACTCTTGAGCAAAAACCTAAAATTCATTCATTTTTTGTGACAAGTGTATAAACTTAGATTTTTATTTGATGTGGAATATTTACCAGATTAAATGTCTCTGTTCTCTGTGGAAATTCTTCCAAAGAATGCAAATACAAAGTAAAGGTTAAAGATGAACTGGTAATGTAATATTAACAAAATAGGTGGGAATCAGCATTGTACCTTGAATTCACAGGTCTTGCTGACAGATACATCTCCCGTGCAAGATGTGGATGTTATCAAAAGCCATTACCTCAAAGGTGACAACGTTTTCTCTAAATTTTTTAGTGTAATTTGCTGTAATAATTGAATAGAAGGTCTTTGAGGACAACTTAATGAGTCAAACTTTCGCTGATAACCAGAAGCTAGCAAACAATACCCTCCACAGGAGCCAGCCCTGGTGGATAGGATACTAGCTTGCTAACACCCTTGGAACAAGTTAGACGAGCCCATCTTATGATAACCTGGTTTATGTACTACAAAGTGACTAGGGACATCAGTACCTTTCCCTGGATAGCAGACTTCTGATCAAAAGATGATCCTCCATTTCATAGGTTCACCATTGTGTATTCATTTTCTATAAAAACACTTGATTATAATTTGTATGACTGATTTACATTTATATGATTTACGTAAGAGCTGAACTGTTAATTATTTCTCAGAGTATTCACGGTATCTTCACTCCCACTTGGACACGCCTCTCTCTGAATATTCCCCGGATGTTGATCTTGATGGTCGACTGAGAGATCTCTGGGTGAAGGGCCTTCCTTTCAATGCAAGGGTACGTGACTAGCAGACTTTCTTTAAACTTTGAAATTAACTCCTTTTAAGGGCTAGGACTTTGTAAATTTCAACTTATTATTCATTTTAACGGTTTAAACATCTTTTTTTTTTAGAATTACAATGAGCAGCCTGGTATCCAGCCTCATATACGGTTAGTAAAGACAGTAGGCAGTCAATTTTAATTTGCTTTAAGCAAAGTGGTGCGTCCGAAAGTAGTGTTACCCTAAAACAATCTGTCTTTGCTGTCAAGGACTTGATCCGTTGTAAACGGAAGTTTTAGAAAAGACAACACATCTTCCATTGTGTAACTTGCCACTCTGCCATCGTTGTCTTTGCTAAATGACCCTAAATCTGTTGCCTTATGGAACCAAACTGAAGGGCTGTGACATAAAACTGAAACGAAAAGAAATGTACAGGAAACCAAGGTTAAGTCTTTGCTGACAGTATTCCAGCCCTTGGTGATTATCAACATTTTTTTTGTAACAGAGAAGTTGAAGATGTTGTTTTCGCCGATTTTAGTCCAGAGGCTCAGGTATGCCGAGTAGTGCATTTTAAATCGTCTTTTTTTTCGTCGTGTTTGTGGTAATTTATGTGTTTAACCCTATCTTTTCTGATACCAAACACCTCCTAATCCTATTGTCTTCCATCTCTAGTTGTTATTATGCAAATCCTCCATTTTGGGTCCTTTGATTCAGTATCATTCGGCTGGTTTCCTGCCCAACATGAGGCATCATCGCGCCATGGGCCTTGCCATTCTTGACGTTGCACAAGTTGCTAGTAAGAACTGGAAGGCTGGCAGGTCTTCTAAGAATAACCAAAAGAAAGCTAGCTGGAGAAACATGTTTGATGTGGCTGTCAAGTGGAGAAGGTAAGAATAGATCGACTGTAAATACCTAAAAACTTTCCCAGACAATCCCTTTCTTACGGGATTCTTACGGTGATTCTACCTTTCAATTATTACCCTTATCTTACAAGACCCTTTTTCTGATATTGTCGTCTTATTTATGTGTAGATTGTCTGATCCAGAGCAGCCAGTATTTTGGTTGGATATGATGCCAGATAAAAGCGTCAAAAGCGGCTTTAATTTCCGGATGAATCTTTTAAGGTTTGTTAAGAGACAATGTACAACCTACCCCACCCAGTTACGTACCCTCCCCTCCCTGCCAACAAGGTTTGCTCATAGGTACTAGAGTGTATTACCACAGGAATTTTGACGACACCCTTTTCACGGACTTGGAGACCTGGTTGACTTTACCATCTAATCGATGTAATAGAACAGCAATTACCTTTTGTATCTGCTTTGTGTTTGTGCGAGTGACAAACTGCGAAAACTACTAACATTACTCCAGAGTTCTTTGCACTGACTTTCTGTGACGCAGCGAGACTGCGGGTAGCGTGTTACAATCACGGACCTTAAATTCATGTGATTGCAGGGGCCAGTTAAAAAGCGTTCGGTACTCGGACTACTTTGACAAGATTTTTCAGTTTACGAAAACAATGTTACAGCATTTATACAGGTGAGCTAACTATGATTCTAACCTTGACTTTTTCTAAGGGTATAAATCTATCGCCCCGCGCTAAGCTTGCAGTTTTTTCTGTCGTGGTATGCCTGTGGTTCTAAGCCACGTGACCTAAAAAACATGTGCTTTTAAGTAGCTTTGAGGCGGCCCTTAAAGATTGAGTTTGTCTTTCTTAAGTCTTTGAGACTGCTATCGTTACAATTTCCACAACAAAAATAAAGAGTTCATTAAAGCAGGAAATTTGATTGAAGTCAACCCACTAAGCTGTGGGAGCATGCGCAAAACGGTACTGACTTCAGGTTGATTGCTTTCAGAGTGGATGAACTCAATTCCAAGGAATTTAAAAATAATATAGAGAAAGCAAAAACATGTCGGCAGCTTATGGAAGTCTTGAAGGTAGGCCTGAATTGGGACAAGTATAATCAATCACCTCCTCAAAATAGATTATAGGGGTTAGTTTCTATGGAAACTGTGGTGTTATGTCGGTTGGCGGGAGTGAACTGTTTGTTTTGTTGTTTGATTAAATCAATTGATAAACCACTTACTGTAGAAAGATTGAGAAGCTGACCTTTGGAGGGTTAGCCTGCTTTTATGTCTCAGTCACTTATCAGTCTCCTGTTGCTGCACTAAAACCCTGCATCACCCAGTTCATTCTAGGATGCTGTACAACTCATCAAACATAGATCGGTCAATTGAGCTGTTTCTTCCCCTTTTATGCCCGAACGATTGAAACAGGCACCAGGAATGATTGCACGGTTCATCCTGAGGTTGTGTTAACCTCATTTATGACCGCACTGTATCATTCCTTAACATTTGATAGTGCAGAGAGTGCGTCTAGAGGCCTTCTTACATCCTGCTAAGAAGAGATTTTCTCAATTTCTGTTTCTCGTCTACATTAGCAACACGATTCACGTAACCCACAGCCTGGTATGGTTTTATCCACTCATGTATCAAGTACAAAGGGCACTGGAACGAAGAGTTTAGAAGGATTAAATTTAAGTCTCTCTGAAAGGTCAGTTTATTGTTTATGTCTTTACATGCTATTCATACTAAAGGCAGTCGTACCCTTCAATCATTTAATAACACGAAGCGCGAAGGTGAGACCATAGTAGTGATGTAAGCTTTTATTACTTTTCAATTTTATCTGGATTTTGACACACGCTCGCGCTTGCCAGGGTGTGCCGGCATTACTGCGTCCATGATAAGTTTTAGCAACAAGATTGAAAATAGAGCATTTGACTTCTGTTTTTTTTAGCGGTTCCAATCTTTTGTTCACAATGGACACCCCAACGACACCATCAAGGACAGCTGATTATCATTCAGAGCTGGATTTTATTTGGGGGCAGCTTTATGATGAGATGAGAAAACCAGGCAACAAGGTAAAAGACTCAAGTTTGCGCCTCTTTTGTTCTCGAGACGTGTTTCAATTGTAAGTGAAATTGTTGAACTCGTCCATGAGAAAAGGGAAGAACTCTCGGCTCCGAATTTACAGTCCCTCACGGACCGCAGTTAGAACAAGATCAGTGGTCCCCACTTTGGGAACTGTACAGCCCCCGAAATGATCCCCTATTTCTCTTCACGTCGACCCCGAAATGATCCCCAATTAATTCTTGGAATGGAATCATTTCTGGGTCGGGATCATTTCGGGGGCTGCACAGAACAAACAAACTACACGACAGTGACATCTGTCTTCACCTGTTTTTACAATCAGTTCCTTCTCTCTTGTTCGGCAAAATATCATAATTTACCACTCTAAATAATGACTAAACAATTTTTCGATTGTTTGCCATGCTCTCTGTGATCATATATGTTTCGCCCACAGGATGTTGATATGGTTGGCAACTACATTCTGTATATGGTGTACTACTTTTTTAATCTAATGCCTCTGTCACGAGGATCAAGGTAATTTTCCCTTTCTTACCAGATCACGACATTGTGTTTGCCGAACAGCGCGCTATATGGCTCTTTCTAACAACCCGATATCACGGCCCCTTTTTAACGCAGACCTCGGTGTAACAAGCGATTTTCTTTAATGTAGTTACATATATAACACACTCGGCGTTACCAGTCCATTTGCACTTCCTTATATAGCAGGGGCCCCGAGTCAGTAACATGTGAAGCGTATGAATTCTTTATTTTCCTTTCTGTACAAGTGCTGTGGCGTACACAGTAGCTTTAGGTCTTTTCCTTGCTGTTGGTAGAGAAACAACTGGAAAAATTCCACAAGGAAAGGTACGTGCTCCTAAAAGTTTTTCTTTTCCGTCAAACGTCTCGATTTGAGGGTCACATTGGAACTACACGCGAGCGAAAATTGCCAGATTTTCGAGGGATCAGACGAAAAAAGTCTTAAACCTAAAAGCAATAATAGTATTAAGTAACATGGAAAGTTAAGGTCACATTATCACCAATCAGCCAGCTGCATCAGAATTTACAATAGTGCTTCTCTGTTCGTGCAGCGCTATCAGGTACACGGACGAGTGAGAGCATGGGGACCCAGGCCGCGGGCGTTCAGTGTAAAGTAGATTCTAGCTTACGATTGGTTGATATATTTATTTCACCTTCCTTTTTTTTCTTACTGTTTTAGGAGGTGGACTTAGAAGCCATGATCGGGGGATCCGTTGAAAATTTCGCCAAGCACGTCAAAGAATGGCTGGCGCTTAAAAAGTAAGGCCCTAGGTACTGGAAAATTATAAGCCTCAAGTCGAGGTCGAGTCATTATTTCCAGTGATTTTACTCCGTAATGATATGATATCATGTTCTTCTCCATGGGAGTATGTAGTGATGTAAAGTCAACTCTCTCTTAACGGGCACCTCTTTAAGACGTACATTTCGCTAGAACGGTCACCTAGAGTTAGACCCCGCCTTTCTTTACTCCTTCTAGTTGACTGTCTATAAGATGGACATCTCTCTAAGATGGTCACATAGGGCTGGTCCCTATTTGTCATTATTAGAGAGAGTTAGTTGTATGAATGTAGTATTAAAGTTCAATCTTGTCAAACTCCGAAACTTCCACAACCTGAGCATAGGCTTCTTATAAGTTCGAATGATCGTTGTGTTAATTCTTTTCTCTCTCTGCAGGTTGTCCAAACCGGTAACGTCTTTTCCCTTTGTCAGTGAAGTCTTCCCCACTCTCCGCGCTGCTCTGGAAGCTCTAAATGTTCGCTTCACTGAAGATGATTGTAAAAATCTCCCATCATTTTAATTTTTTTTAATAAAATGCACAGAATAAAAAAGCTTGATAATTAATGTCACCGATTGAGGAGACGTTGAAACAAATTTGATTTTTGTAATAAAGAGCTGTTGAATGCTTTTGTTTACATTTTGGCTTTACGAACATTTGTGGGTGAAGGGAGTGTCTGTTATTTGAAATTTAGAATAGTGTTTTGCCAAAAATTTTCCAGTCTTTATCAGCCGTGTTTTGATTTTTTTTTTCAGTTCACTTCACCTCAACATATGACCGCCATGTATAATCTGCCTTTTTGATGTACAAAGCTGCTGATAAAAGTTTTTTTGCAAATCTTGGTTAACAAGCTGATCTGTTTGTAGAAATAAAAGAGGGAGGGGACGTTGCGCAGATTCAGATCGGCGGCACGTGCAGTCTGGCGCGTTGAGGCCTGTTACTAGTATGGCGGTGTGCGACAAGCTCAGACTGCAGACGGGCAGATAAACCAAGTAAAATGCTCTAACGGATTCCGCATTCCTAAACTAGACTTTTAGAAGACTTAACATGTTAACCACAAACAACCACAGTTTCTTCACTTTCAGCAAACTTTACTTGATTTCTAAATCTTTGCGAGAGTTCATGAATGGCAAGCATAGTACTTAATTACAAGTCAATAAGGAACGTGTGAAAATATATTTCCCAAATTTTTCTCGGCCCGATTAATAATATTGCATTATTTGGTCTTGTTCAGAAAATTTGGGAACAATGAACAAGCATTGATACTTTGTCGAGGCAAGCTACTATCAAATCTAATCCTGTCATTAACCCTAGGTATTACATTCTCTTAAGGTATAGTATAGTTACATCAAGTAGACTAAATTACAGCGATGCAGCCCTGTTCATTGAAACTGTATAAAGAAGCCTATAGACAAGATTACTCGTGTCAAAAATTATTTAACAATTATTATTCCTCTAATTCAAATGAGCTCTGAGTCAATAGCCCATGAGGCCGAAGGCTGAATTGACTATTGACTCAGAGGCCATGGGGGCAAGAGAAGTTTTAGTAAAATCCAACTAGTTGGTCAAAAATATTGAGACAAAACAACTTTAGCTAGTAAAATGCGATTCCGCCACCACTGTTTTGGTTTTCAAAGCCAGCACTTCGCTACTAGTGGGCTATAACATATAGCCTAGTAGTAGCTCAACCAATCAGAGCGCAGCATTGCTAATAGACCACTAGTTGGATTTTACTAATACATGATAGTCCCCCGTCTTAGTCTTATTTGTGATCTAGTTGCAACCCTGGTTCCTGGGTTCTCTCTCACTAGGACCATAAGAACAAGGTTGTGCATGTTGCATGCATGTTCACAGGCAAGCTCCTCTGTCTATGTATTGTTTTAAAATATATTACTCTACATTACAACACCTACCCAGTCTTGCACAATTATTAATCAAATAGTAAAATAAGATAAGTAGAGCAAATTAATTTTACAATGCTGCTTTTGCAACATGAGGCATCAAGATGCCAAAGGCGAAGAGATAAATTCATACCAGACCTTTTTTCATGGATTCCTTACAAAAAATACAATTTGCATTAAAAAAGAGTCAATATCTTGTAAGTATCACCGCTCACATAAACCTACACGCACTCAGACCAGCCAAGTATAACCACAAACAAGAGATTCCTTGGTTCTGAGGCAGCGCTTTCAAATAAGGAATCCAAGAGCATTGAAGTACACCATACTTTTCTCCTGTTAAAGGGTTTCTTCCACAACAACCAAAGTTGAGAGGATATAGAAGAAACTGATCCACTTCCTCAAGCTTCAGTTATTGCACAGGTGCACTGTATTAACAATGAGGGTGTGTTACTTTGAAAGAATCCAAGATTAAACTCTTGATCTTATATTCTTTGGATTCTTTTCACAAAATACTTTGGGAACACACCCTCATTTCTAAACGTTTTATTTAAGTTTTAATTCTAGACTTAATTCTGAAATCTTTAAGTGAAAAATCTACCAACTATACGGTCATAATACATGTATGCCAATTTTTATAATACAATTAATTTTACACATGTAAAAGCCATTAAGGACAACCTTAAGTTATAACGTGCAAGTGACATTGAATTGCTCTTTAATCCATGGTGCAAACAAGCTATAAATCTTTCTATAAAGTGAATATAGATAAAAGTCATAATTACATGAATGGGAGCAATAACAACCTACTATATCGTTTCACGTTCATCTGTAATCTCTCATCTGTTACACAAACTTGTGCAAGACTAATTTTGCTCACTGCATGTGTTAAATGAATGAAATGCTCAAGCTAAGTAATACTTCTCACATTGGTTTAGCAAGCATGCAAGTAAGTTGCTGCTTCATTTTTTTTTTCTCTTACATGGAAATGAAGAGAAAGTTTGCCTTCTCATCTAGTCTCTTCGTATGATGCACATGGCCTACTCACCGAAAATTTCAGTGCATATAAAAAGAGTGCGAAACACACCCATGAAGATAGAAAACAAGAGTGAGTAACAATAGTAAAATCCCTAAATTGTGTAAAGATTTAAAATACAAACTAAGAATACCTTCATTCTTTGAAAAGGTGGCAAGCCCATCATCTAAATGTCAAAACAGTTCTTAAACTAAACTGACTTATTTGTCTAAACATTTATGAACAAAGCAAAACTCTACCAAACATTGTACTAAAATATGAATTATCTGAAGTTAAAGAGAGACAAAAGCTTAAAATTATTATACTCTTTTCCACAAAGGTGATCTTGACAATATCAATAAAAAAATTAAGTTGCATATAACTCAGAAATCTCCCCCCTTCAACCCTGTCATCAGAACAACTACAATATCAAATCCACCTTCGGCAGTAAACCTTTCCTTAAACCACTCCAAAATATCAAGCTGCCATTATTACATCTGGTAACTTTTTAGTAACAAAATTCCATGAAATAACTTAACAAAAAGGATTAACTATTAGAATAAAATTTCATAAAAGTGCATTCACAACACTGTACAAGCTTTGTTGTGTTTGGATGAAATCTTACAATACACAACCACTGTAAATCATTTGAGCCACTGATGGTGCAACAGAGTGAAATGATGGCCCAGTGTGTTGTTTGCAGGCATCAATAGAAGCTCATTAGTGCTTTTATAATGTAATAGTAAATACTGTAAGTTTTAAATACACATGTGGTTAATATTGTTATTAGTATTTTACAATAGAGTTTTTAAATTATTTTGTGCAGACTAGTCTCCCCTTTAGATCAGCGTGCAAAGAAAGTAGAGTCCAATAACCCTGGGATAGTGGATTTTGTTCTTAACTTGCCCGGCGGGCAAGTGAAATTTTATGAGGAATTCAAATTACAGAAGAACTGTGAAATCAATTCTGCCCATCAAAATGTTTTTGGGGCTACTTGAAATGACATTTGGGCTAGTATATGCTAGCTTCAGCTTGCCCAAATTGCAAGCTTTAAAAATGACTTTCTATGCACCCTGTAGATCCACTAAAAGAACCATGAAGTTTAATTTGCTGAGAAAGTTTTGTGAACCCTGCTCTCAGTGTTTTGTTCAAGCCCTTAACAATGGAAAACCATTGCAATTCAACACAAGACTAATGGCGAGTGTGATTGCTGCAGTTATATTTTAATTTGGATAAAAAAACAATGATTTTTACTGAGTATGAGAGTTGGCATTTTTGTCTCTGAGGTCTGACTATCCATTGATAGTACTTGAAAGGATTTTTTAAAAAAAACAGCCTTTCCCTTAAACATCTATATCTACACTTGAGCCTCTAAAAATAATTTTCTAATATGAAGGTTGCATTACTTTCAAAGCTTAGTATTCAAGATCAAATACTAATATTTTAATCTTGCATGCATGTCTGTATCATGTTGCCCTGCCTACACGTATGAACAAAATTTCAAATACATGACAACATCAAACTAACAAAGAAGAGACTAATCAAACTATCCCTACAGTATCACCAACTTATCTTAATGTTAGAGTTATCTAAAAAAAAACCACTTTATCTAATTATAAGTAAAGTGACCCCCTCACAGATCAGCTACACTGTCATCACACCCAAAACACTTGATCATGACTAGATGGGCTAAATGGATTGGAATCCTTCTTAGTGAGAGGTACTCGAGGTGGTGAACTTATCTGTCGAGAGTCAAATAGAGAAGCAAAGTCATTGCCATTTGTTGTATGTGCAGAACTTTGTCCCCAAGATGCCGCTGCCGCTGACCAGGAAGTATTTCCCTGAGATGAGGTACCACTTGATGGCAAAGTAGTCTTCAAATCACTAGTCCATGCATTTGAAAGTGCATCAATCTGTGATGCTGTTTCTGCAAATGGGTTTACAGTTGTAAGGAGACCTTGGTTTGGTTGGGCTGTTGTCCCTGCTGACTCCACTGCCTTTCCAGAGGCAGTTGCCAGCCACATCTCAGCATCAGAAAGTCGTGGTTGTGGCTTAACTGGATGTGGCTGCTGGGTAGGGGTGCTCCATTGGGTGGGTCCCTTGACTTGAGGTGACGCTGAAGAGGAAGAAAATGGCGGTGATGGTACTGCTGCTGTACTTGGTACATTACCTCCTCTACTCAAGTTCAGCAATGTATTAGGGGCTTGTACAGATGATGGTGAATTTGCACCCAACCCATTGTACATGTTGTTTGGTTGCCTTGGAGTACTGCTCTGTGGCCCAGTGGGTTGAGCCCCAGATGTTGTGAATGGTGTGTTGTTCTGTAGTGTGATGGCATCCATAGGTGGAGGCAACTGAGGAACAGATGGCTCCTCTGTAAGGGTCTCATAGCCACTTGTATCTCCACGAAGAGGCATAAAAGAAAGAGGATTGGAGCGATATCTCAGAGACATATGCCGAGTAAAAGGTGATGGGTTGAATGGTTGTGGGCGTGGCCTCGCAACTGAAGGCGGGGGCTTAAGAATGGGAGTAGCTGCATTGCTTTGCTTTGGTTGGCTTGAAGATGGCAACTGCTGTTGCGCTGTTGAAGTAACCACAGTGCCATTGTT